CTTGGATCTAAGTTTTGGATCTAAGAACTTAATGGATAGGATCTTAATGGAGTTTTGGGATTGGACTGCATATGTTGGGTGTACTTGGTGGTACGTTGAGTTTACACGGTCAACGCCATACTTTTGGCCAACATCATAGTACGTTGGACGTACTCTCTTAGTACGTAAGGCATACTTCGGTGGGAAGAAATATTGACTTTTGGACCTTGACCGTTGATTTTGACTTTGACCAGGGTTAACCAAGTTTGACCTTAGGGCATTTTGGGTAATTTGATTTATAGTTTGAGATTTGGTTTCCTTTGTATATATGACCGGTAGAGATAACTTTTAGAGCAGTGATTGGTGCAGCTATTCTTTCAAATTGTGAGGTGAGTCTCCTCCTGTATCCATGGGTTAAAGACACCAATGTCAGCCTATTATTGAGTTATGTAGAATGCTAGCTGTTGTGATATATATATATATATATATATATATATATATATATATATATATATATATATGTGTGTGTGTGTGTGTGTGTGTTTATATGATCGGGTTGAAATATACCCTAGGGCGGGGCCTAATATGGCATGTCAGGTTGAAATATACCCCAAGGCGGGGCCTATTATGGCATGTTTGGGTTGAAATATACGCTATGGTAGGGCCCATTATGGCATGTTTACATTGAAATATACCCCAGGACAGGGCCCACTATCATACAATCGGGTTGAAATATACCCTAGAGCAGGGCCTACACTTGCTTATTGGGTTGGAATATACCCTAGGGTCAGGCCTAGTTGTATGTTTTGGTATGTTGTATTTTAGGGAACTCACTAAGCTTTTTTATTACGGTTTCATATTTATAGTTTCAGGTACTTTCGGTTCAAAAGGGAAGAGCCCAACATGACTGCACAACATCCCCCTAGAGTCTTTCCGCATTGAAGATTAACGATATTACTCTAATGTTGAAATAATATATTCACTTTGATCGGTTTTGGAACAATTTCTTTGTATGATTTATTGTTTTAAAAATGAAAAAAATTTACCTTGGATTTTCGGGATGTTACACATAGGGTTTTCAACCCACAATAATATAATTAATATGTTTAATCATAAAACAATTAACCGATTTCCCATCCATATTATCTTCTTTTATTCTTAAGGATCTGCCCTAAGGATTATCTATCATGACAGTAACAGTTCGGGGATTCCACCATGATATTTGTACTAAACTAATGTTGAAATTAATCAATATTAGTCTTATAATGACTGCATCGTCAATACCTTTATATATATATATATATATATATATATATATATATATATATATATATATATATATATATATATATATTAATTTTTACTTTATTTTAATATGTAAATATGCTATTATAAATTATAACGTATTAATACTAACTTCGTTTTCGACGTTTTTATATCCACGCGTAGCTATCGACGAGATCTACAAGTTTTATTTAGACTCCGTCGCCTACTTTTAATTTTATTTTTTGTCCATATTTTTATAAAATTAAATGATTTTGCAAAAATCATAACTCTTTCGTACGGACTTCGTTTTTGACATTATTTTTCTCAAAGTTCTTATTTTAAAGAGTACTACGATTTTCTTTTTTGCGTCTATAGCTAAAAGTCAATCATTCTTTTCGTAACTTTTTACGTCACACATTCCTTGTGCAAGACTGACTTTTATATATTATAAAAATCATATCTAATTCATACGAATTTGGATTTTGTACGAAATTTATATTTTCGGGATCGGAACAACGTGTACTTTCTATATATATATATATATATATATATATATATATATATATATATATATATATATATATATATATATATATATATATATATTTTGACATACTTATTTTTACGATTTACAGACGATTGGGTTGATTTTTTCCTATTTTATTATATTATAATAATCATGAAAACATATAATATTCATATAATTCTTATTTATTACGTCAAATAGGTTACAATTGTTAACCTTGACTATTACTTTCGATATTTTTAATATTCAAAAAACTATAAAAAAAAATAATAAAAAGATTATTTTTTACTGTTATTATTATAATAAAACATTATTTATAAAAGTATAATATATATGTTGAAATAAATAAAATTATGAAATCATCACAATATTTTTATAGTATATTACAAATAGCTAGTTATTTTTTTAAAATAATATTATATTAGAACGGTGATTTGTTATTATTTTTTCATATTTGTTATATATATTTTTATATTAAAAGTCACAAAATTTAATGCTAAATAATATATATATATATATATATATATATATATATATATATATATATATATATATATATATATATATATATATATATATATATATATATATGGAAAAGTGAATATACCATTAAGGGTATATAAGCTTAGGTACCTAAACTCACTATACTACATCGTTTTGTATCATATAATACATTCTTATTGTCCAATGTTTTTATAATTTAACTTCTATCTTGATTTACTTCCAAGATTTTTACAAATTCCACATTTATCTTCCTATTATATAGTTTTCATTTTCAAGTATAATATATATAACCTAATACGTCTATGGTAAAAAGATGTGATGTAAGAGAAAGATAATAGTAAAATTTCGAAAATCTTGAAAGTAAATCACATTAGGGGTGGAAGTTTAAGAGCATTATAATGAATATAGCAAACAAAACGACGTATTTTGATGTGTTTGGGTACCTAAGCTTATAAACCATTAAGAGTATATATATATATATATATATATATATATATATATATATATATATATATATATATATATATATATATATATATACTAGCCGTTGCCCGCGCAAAGCGGCGGGCGACAAATAGTTTGTTTCGACAATTTTAATTCAATCATTAGTTTGTTTTAGGAAACATTTCATATTAAAAATAAAGAAAATTCATGAAATGACCAAATTATAGGGTGTTGAGTATTTATTTGGATGAAAAAAGATCTAGTTAAAACCTTGGAAGAGAAAATTTATATGAGTTTGTTTAAATTTTAATATTATTTTATTAGTGATTAGTTGTACAATTAGCTTAATGATTTGGACGTCTTAAAAATAAATTATTATTTTATTCAATCTATTTTTAGAAATAGTGGGATTTGTTTTATAAGATAGTAAAGATATACTTTTTCATTTTTTGATATATTTTATCGTTAGCACTCAGATTCCTTTATATTTTTGTATATTAAACGTGTAAAAATTTAATGCTAAATAATATATATATATATATATATATATATATATATATATATATATATATATATATATATATAAAAGAGGGTTCAATTGAGAAAAAAAAGGTTGAGAATGAAGAAATCATTATCTATCAATCATTTAATCCAAACATAAAAAGATATGGTGACAAATTTGTAAATATAATAATATTCTTTAATCTCAAATACGTAACTGTAGAGAATTAGATAACAATTCAAACTCATTCCTAATTGATCGTTAATCATCCAAATTTCTTTTTCAACCTTCAACAATCATTCAGATTTCTTTAATTAAACCCTTATTAACATCATCTAGTGTTAATCAATCATCGATCGTCATCAATAACATTTTATCAACACCATTCAACAGTTGACAATAAAAATTCGTTTTTGGTTTTTTTTAATCCAATCTTCAATTCTGTTTGAATACGATCAAATCTTCAACATCTAGTATTAATTATACTCCCAATGTCATTAGATCAACATCATCGATAATAAAAAAAATCGACTTCATATCATTCATTCAACATCGATCATCAAATAAACTTCAAAATTGAGGTTAGAAAAAATCAAATCTTTTTTTTTTTTTGAAAAAATTCATATAATCCTCTATCACTCTACTGTTTTGTAAGATTGAAATAGTCAAATTATCATGTTTTTAACATTTTTAAAAAAATTAACTTGTATGCACCTCAACTATTTGATAAAATGCATAAACTAAATTATTATGTTTTCTCACCTGAATCATTATATGATTATTAAAAACACAAAACAAATATGCAAGTATGTATGTTATTCATTTGTGAATATTATATAAAAGTTATATATATTTGTGCAAATACATTGTAATATTCATATTTGAATATACTGTGCAATATTTATAAGTGAATATATCATCTAATATTCACAAGTGAATATACTATGTAATATTCACATGTGATATATCATGTAATATTATATAATATTCACATATGAAAATATCATATAATATTTATATGTGAATATACCATCTAATATTTACAAGTGAATATAGTATGTAATATTCACAAGTGAATGCATCGTCTAATATTTAAATATAAATATAGTATGTTTTTTATATGATATACTCGTATATAAATGATACTTAAATTGTAAAAAAAAATTAATTATACTTTTTATTTCATAAGTGAATAACGAATGTACTATAATAAAAATCTGATACCTTTTTATTTACTTATGAATAATGATACTGAGAGTATAAACTTTATTTTATCTTAAAACTATATCAATATGGATGTCTATTTGTAGATAATAAAAAATCATGAATTTTGGTATATTTAAAATCATTTTTCGATAAAAATAACTTCTTAAAAATTTAAAAAAAAAAACGAAAAAAAAAAACTATATTTTGCATATATGAAGGTATAGATTAGCATAGTTTAAAGAAACATATTTTTGTTGGAAAACACATGTCTATTCTTTTCCTATTTCCGTTGGTACGACGGGGGTTTGCGGCAAAAATAAATGAGTGACTGAGAATGATTCCCTCACTCTCAACTTTTTTTTTTCTCAATTGAACTTACATATCTCTCTCTTTATATATATATATATATATATATATATATATATATATATATATATATATATATATATATATATATATATATTATCTTTTTGACACTCAAAGCCAAAAATAGATTTCAAATAGCTCGTCTCAAATAAATCTTTTATCTATATATACACCAAGTCCTCTTTACTTTTGAAGTAAGGTAAAGACGATTTATTTGCAATCGTTCAATGGCTTCAGACTCTTCCTCAACCTACATTCTCAACCATGCAGATCTTCCTTCTCTCTACTATCAAACCAACAATGAAAATGTTGGTATTATTGACTTGGGGCTTAGTCTTAGAGTTTTGCAGCCAGAAACTTATAATCATTCCGGAAATCCCAATGGTAATATTATTCCTTCTCTTGATCATGGTTTTCTTTCTTGATAGATTTGGATATTATGGTCTTTTCACTTTGTTTATCATATGATGAAAGTTGAGCTTTTCTCGCAGTCGCAGATGACTATCACAATCTGATAGAATGGAATCAATTGCACCCTTTTGAAAGTTCACATGTTGGTGTCAATTATCCTAGGAATACAGATGACAACGTCGTCATTGACCAAAACACACTCCAAAGGCAGCTGCAACGAAGCGATTTTGTGAAGGTTAACATGGATGGGGTGCTAGTTGGTCGAAAATTAAGTGTTAATGATCATTCAAGTTACTCGGGTCTTGCAACTCAACTAGAAGACATGTTTGGTTAGTATGCTTACAACAAAATTCTTGAATTTTGGGGTGAAACTTATTTGTTTTTTAGCATCCACCTTTTACATGAATAATATGAATTAAAAGCATTATGGGTTTTGTAGGAAATCAATGTTTGAGTGGTTTACGACTATTCGAAAGTGGTTCAGAATTTTCGTTGTGGTATAAAGATAGAGATGAACAATGGAGGGTTGTCGGTGATGTCCCATGGAAGTAAGTTTTTCTTTTCTTGAAAAGACATGAATCGATAGTGAGTTAGTGACTGATTCTACTTATTCTTTCAGCACTAGCCTGGTATCAACTTAATGTTTAAAACTTGGTTACTAATCATCTTAATTGAAAGGATTTTATATAAATTATGCAGGGAGTTTGTTGATACTGTGAAGCGGATTAGGATCATGCTTAAGGATGAGACCCTCTTTCAGTTTACATCCACATTGGTCTAGTTAACCCTTCCCATGTCTCGACCCAGCATGCATGCCAATAAAATACATTGGATAAAGATAGGAAGCTATTGACACATTCATGTTTTGGTGTTGTTGGATAAAGATATCATACCATTAAGAAAGCCTTTTTCTTTCGATTTTCTTTTATGGAATGCCTGTAAGGTGTTAACTAAACTAATTAAAGTTGTGTTTTCATTTATGCGTGTACATTGTTAATAAGATTGGATAGGAAAAAGGACAAAACCATACGAGAATTATATAAGGCAAACTACCGATTTGTTTCTATATTGTTCTTGGACTTAGATATACCAATTCTCCTGTAAATAGCATTTAATGATAAGGAAAAAAGGAGAGAAGGATAAAAAAATCGTATAATAGTTAACTAATTCTTGAATAGGTAGTTAGTTAGTTATTCTTATTATTATTAGTTTTTGAAAGAGAGGTGGTTAGTTAATTTGTTATGAAATATTATGTTTATATTTTGAAGTACATAAAATTTTCCTAACGTACGTGTACGAACTAGTGCCATATATGAATCTTCATTCATCTTAAGCAAATGCAAACATACGTTTGACATCTTAAGCAAATGCAAACATACATTTGACACAACAGCTATAAGAAGCGTTTTCAATAAACACCAAAAGCTCAAATACCTTAATATCTACTTGAATGTTCTAATAATAAACTTAATTAATAGATAAATTAACTTTTTTTTATCAAACCATGTCATCCTTTTAAAGATTTAAAAATCTATAGACATGATCCAATTTTTTTAATTTTTATTTTGTTATAAAAACACTTGTAATATGTATGAATATTTTCAATATTTTTTTTTTTACATTTAATTTTTTTTTTCTTACTTATCTGTGATGTTTTATAAGGGATTTAGTTAGTTGTTTTTAAACAAAAATTATATTTTAATGAATATTAAAACTAGACATTAATATTTAACTAACTAAAATTATTATAATACATTGTTTCAAAAGGAAAATTACATTATAGTTATAAAAACTAAAATTATTGAAAATATTATATAATCGTTATAAAAATTATATTTTATAAATAAAAAGTTTTAATATTTAATAGAAATAATTAGATAACACATGAATAACAAACATCTAAAACTAAACAATGATTATATAGATAAATTAAAATATAATCAAAACATTAAAGCTCATTAACAAAGAACTAAATTGAGGAGGAAACTAGTTTAACATCAAATTTTATATGTTTATCTATAATGTTTTTATAAGGGATTTAATTACCTGTTTTTAAACAAAAATTCTATTTTAATGAATATTATCACTAGACTTTAATATTTCACTAACTAAAATTATAATAATACATTATTTTAAAATAAAATTACGATATAGTTATAAAAACAAAAATTATTGAAAAAAAAGTATATAGTCGTTATAAAAGTTATATTTTATAAATAAAATGTTATTATTATTTAATAGAAATAATTAATTAACACATAACAAACATCTAAAACTAAAATATAACTATAAAGGTAAATTAAAATATAATTAAAAGATGAGGGTAATACATAAAGTAGAGACAAGATGTAACATCCATAAAAATCATGATAAATTTAAACTTTTAAAAACATTTCAAAATCATTAATCGTTAAAAAACTTGTTTTCAAAATAATAAAATATCAAAGTATTCCAGAAACAAAGTTATAAACACGAGGAACTGTACGATCACACATTTGCCTTCCCGCGGTTATCTGATGGAACTGAAACTATAAGCTCAAAGCTTAGTGAGTTCCCCCAAAATACCGATACACTGCAGATAACAAATATACAAATAACATGTAATGGGTCTACAACTTTACAGAATAGATTACCCCTGGTCCCGCAGTGTGAATCCGGCTTGCCTTCTGGGCCCATATCTCACATCTGGCTAGCCACTGAGCACACAATACATGTCTGGTATGCCCTACCCGACCCTTAGCTCGTATCTGGATTGCTCCTGAGCCAACATTATGAGTTTGACATGCCCTACCCAACCCCTCAGCTTGTATATGGAATGCTCCTGAGTCCTCAATATGAGTCTGACATGCCCTGCCCGTCCCTCATCTCAAATCTGGAATACTCTAGGGTTTGTTGGTTCCGCACGGAGCAGTACAACCTCAACCCATCCCTTATAATATGTCGACATATAATATAACTAATGTATTTACAGATAATCATGTAATAATACAGGTAGTCCTACATATCTACCTACTGGCATAGCAACTAGCATGCATAACTAACTCATACTCAACATAATACCAACTGCTAGGATATCATATCCAATGAGCTGGTATTGGTTCAATCGACCACTTAGTATAGTGAGGATAACTCACCTCTCAACTGTCAAATTGAAATGATAAACTTAAACTCTCGAACCACGGCTACAAACTTCACCACCTATATTTACCATAGGACCATTTCCATATATTTCCAATTTACCAAAATACCTCAGAAGTTAACTAGTCAGTCCTTAGTCAAAGTTAAAGTCAACAGTCCATGTTAACCCAACTCGTCGAGTGCAGCTCACTGACTCGCCGAGCCCTTCCATAACTCAAGAAATTGTGAATCCCTCAGCTGACTCGTTGAGTTTCCCTGCAACCCACCAAGTCCATGCATATCTAAATGTCGGGAAAAGCCTGGCTAACTCATCGAGTCATCCTACTGACTCGCCGAGTCCATGCAGAAAATCCTTGCACGACAATCTTCATCGGACTCGCCGAGTTGGCCACGTGACTCGTCGAGTCCCTTCAGTCCTTTCTCTATTTAGAAGCTTTTAAGCCACCTAAAGCTCTATATTGCAGATCAAGCTTCCCAAGGCATGTTTATAACGTAAAGTTGCAAACTTTACATGCATGTAAGGCTTTAAAGGCTTAGAATGTCAAATCCAAGCTTATAATGGGGTTTAACTCAAAAGGGAGGTTCATACTTGCTAAAGTTGGAGACTTTATAGCTATAGCGACCAAGGTAAGCTCAGATCTGAAGTTGCAACTTCAAATCCTAGCCCATACCTGTGACAACCCGAAATTTCCATTTGTACGAACATTATCTATTCAATAGAAGCTAGTCTAGTTTCAGTGATTTTCAGACTTGTCCGAACAAGTTTGTGTACTTTAGGGTTTACGTTTCTGGATATATCAGGAGAGTGGATGCTCCTGTATTTGTGAAACTTGAACATTCCAAGTTTCATAATGTTATAGTCCAACTTCCGGAATAAAAATATTTTCTGTCAAAATATTTCAGGACTATAAATAGATTTCTGAATTTAATTAATTCATTATTCACAATTCCAACTAGAGAAAAGCCATTTTCTCTCTGACGGATCTTCGGGTTTTCATCCCGGATTGTGAGTCTACTTTCCTAAATGTGTTTTAATGTTTGTTATATGCTTTATAACATTGTTTACATGTCTAAAATACAAGATCCGGGAGCTTACGGCCCAAGAACGTTCTTGGGGTGTAAACTCCAAAACGAAGCCTAAAGGCTTCCTAGTCCCGATTCCTTGTTAGACAACTTGTTTAGGGCTTAATGTATAAACATTTGAGACTAGAAATCAATCAAGAAACCCTAGTTATAGGAGTTTACGGCCAAGGATATCTCTTGGGCCGTAAACCCCTTTTTAAGGGCTATAAGTACCCTAAATCACCCCTAAAGCTTAAGGACCTTTACCCTCTAATGCTTGTAGTTAATTTGGACACCAAAACACTTCAAAATCATAAGGTTTTAGGAGTTTACAGCCAAGGAAAGATCTTGGGCTGTAAACCCCTTTTTCAAGGGCAAAATGTGCCCTAAACACCCTTAAAGCCTAAAGACAATTAACCTTGTATACTTGGGACTTGAATGGAGAACAAATTACATCAAAATCATCCTTTAAAGGGAGTTTACGGCCAAGGAACATCTCTTGGGCCATAAACTCCAAGTAAAGGCACAAAGGTGTGCCTAATGTCCCCTTTAGCCTTAAGCAAAAAACATGGAAGTTATCCTACATGTGCAAGGGCCTTAAATGAATTAAAACCAACACCCCATAGGAGTTTACAGCCGTAAACTCTAGGGGATATGGTCCTTTGGCTGTAAACTCCCCAAAGGAGCATTCCAAGGCCTTAAACTACTTCAAGGATTATTCCAACAAGGCTAGGCTTATTCTAGGATCAAGATGGCACTTCAAAACACCCAAAACCACCAAGTGAGGAGTTCACAGCCGTAAACTCATGGGTTCACGGCCGTAAACTCCAAAGGGTGGGGTTTGTTGGGTGGTGAACTCATATACAAGGTCATTGGTGCATTAAACCCCTTTTGCCTTGCCCCGTATCAACTTAGATGCAACCATTAGGACCTATAACACTTATATAAAGTGTTTACATGTTCCTAAGTGGCTCAACTTACTTTTTTAAGTTATTATTTGGCTAATTAGTTATATATATGTTCATTATATGATAACTAGGCTCGAACGTGTGAACAAGTCTCCGTTTGCCACCTAGCACGGTACCCGATACATCAATCAAATCTACTCACCACAAGTGAGTTCATACCCCTTTAATCAACCTTTGAAATACTTTTAAATGTTTTAAATACTTTATGGGGGGGGATACAAGTTAAATACTTATAGTTATTGCATCAATCACATGTGATTGCATTAATCACATGTGATTAATAACTAGAAAACCAATGATTTTATCACTGTTCAAACTGTTTATCAAACTGTTTTACTTCAAAATGTTTTACAAACTCTTTTACTTATCAAATGCTTTTATTAAACTTTGTTTTACTTCTTATAAATTGCATGCCCATATATGTATAGATATATAAGTAATGTTTAAAGGGCTTAGGAAGGCCATCCACCCTATTTCCTTTTCGTGCACTGAGATGTGGTCTGGTGGGATTTCGGGTGACCATCCGAAGGTCGTTTCAATATTAGTTACATATCATATATACATGTATAGACATAAAAGTACTTCCATATTCATACTTATCAGTACATCAATAACTAGTTACCATCAGGGTAACACAGAACATATACAACTATACTAGAAACAGAACATATACAACTATACTAGAAACAGTACATATACAACTATACTAGAAACAGTACATATACAATTATACTAGA